TAATTACAAATATCCTGAGGATGATTTAATGTTTTGGATCAGAATGGGATCAATCTGATCAAATTAGGATATCCTAAGGAAATACATTGCTATGTGGGATAATGCTATTTATACCTCTATCAGCTATAATAGCATCCTTTTCGGAAACTTCTAGATTATAAATCGTTCCAGTATCTCCTTCATATAACCTTATAATTGGCATAGTTAATACAATTTTTATTTTTAATTGTAATATACACAATATACCACAGCATGATTTGTAATATAGCACGATATCACGATATATAATAAATAAACTTAAAAATCAGCTTTACAGTGGCGTTTTTTCGTTATGCAATCAGAAGCAATCACGGCTAAGGCTATCTTCTTCAGGCGAAGGTCTTTTAATTTCTGAAGATATGGGCTGCGTTCAACAGACTCAACAGTTTTGCAACCGTTTTGTGATTTTTCGCTGAGATAGGATTATTCCTTCAAATCTAAAAGTATAATATCAATGCGACGAATCATTAAACAGTTGCAAAACTGTTTGGTCTGCTGAACGCAGCCATACTTTCGTTTGTTTATTATTATGCGCTCTGTATATTCAAACTAAACGCTTCAGTCAAACTACCTGTCTAAGCAGTAGCATTGGAAGCAATTGGAAACAAGGTGGAAGTGGAAACCTATGACGTCATACGTGCTATTGGGACACATTTGAAGTGCCATGTGGACCCGTTCAAACAACGCTCCAAACGATTCGAAGCGTTTGTAGCGCCAAGTGGACCGCACCCTTAGATATTTATGCAGATACGACGTAGACATATTAGTGAATATTAGAATTATATTTTATGTGCATTATGATGTATACACATTACAAAACATAAAATATATTTCTAATTCATATCCACATAAGTGTGTAGCTACTTCATCTCTTTTTGTTAACGAAAAGAGAGAGATGCAAGTTTCTCATGCTCAGATATTCACGCAGATATATTTACACGAAATATTAGAATTTTATGGGTATTATAATGTGTATGTATGTATGTATATATGTATATACTTCTATATACACACGGAGAGAAATCTGTTACGATTTTGGCGCGGACAGTTGATACTACTATCGCGTAGCCTATTTCAATGCACTAATAGCGCCATCGTTCAATCTGTTTATGCATGAAGTTATGCAATCATGGCACGAGAAATCTCTATGAAAAAAAAGAATGAGATGCGCGCTATGGTCGTACCAGCTTTTTACGATAGCCACACGAGTGCAGTACGCATAAAGCATCCCACTTCACCGTGCGAAATTCGCTCGAAACCCGTGCGATTTTGGCATGGCTTATCGGTTTGATAGTCAAATTTCTAAACTACGCCTTCTATGATGCATTGTGTGTTAAAAATTAAACATTTGTGTGAAAAATGTTGCAGCAGTAGTAATGCAAGTATTTGATGATTTATTTAAATTATAGAATTAGTTTCCTGAGTAATTTTTTAATTATCACACTCTTACAGAAGATTACAAAGACCCTGGTGGAAAAATTTTGCTGAAATTTGTGTGACATTTCGCTGAAATTGTTGTAAGTTTTAAAACGCATTTCAGTGAAATTTCAAATTCGTAATTTCAAAAATACGTATAATGTAATACTTATAATGTAATATGATAAAGTAATAATAGAAATAAAAACATTATAAGAATTACATTATACGTATTTTTGAAATTACGTATTTGAAATTTCACTGAAATATGTTTTTCCAAACTTACAACAATTTCGGCGAAATGTTACACAAATTTCATCAAATTTTTTCCACCAGGATCTTTGTAATCTTCTGTAAGAATGTGATAATTAAAAAATTACTCAGGAAACAAATTCTATAATTTAAATAAATCATCAAATACTTGCATTACTACTGCTGCAACATTTTTCACATAAATGTTTAATTTTTAACACACAATGCATCATAGAAGGCGTGGTTTAGAAATTTGACTGTCAAACCGATAAGCTATGCCAAAATCGCACGGGTTTCGAGCGAGTTTCGCACGGTGAAATGGGGTGCTTTATGCCTACTGCGCTCGTGCGGCTATCGTAAAAAGCTGGTACGACCATAGCGCGCATCTCATTCTTTTTTTTCATAGAGATTTCTCGTGCCATGATTGCATGACTTCATGCATAAACAGATTGAATGATGGCGCTATTAGCGCATTGAAATAGGCCACGCGATAGTAGTATCGACTGTCCGTGCCAAAATCGTAACAGATTTCTCTCTGTGCAGTCCCTGATTACATTATTATGACCACTGTTGAATTTTACGATATTTTTATAAGTTGGCAAATTTTTATAAAAAGTGGTAGAAAGATTTGTATTTCATGTGGCAATACTGTTTTTTAAATTATTGTGCATGCAACTCTAACATACATCGCCATTTTGACATGTGTCAACTGTTTAACAATGCTGAAGTTACATATATGCCCGTATTCATAGTCCTTCCTTATTTTAAGGACGGAGGAAACCTCTCCTTGATTCTCCAAGGCCTCCTTGTTTTATAATAAAATCTTAAGGTTTCCTTACAGAAGGAGCCTATTTTCTGGAAACTTTTGATATTTTGTGATTAAAACTTGAATTATCTGTAAAGAGTGCGAATAAGCATAACGAGAGTTGGGCATTTTGAACTGAGTAAAGTCTTACATGTATATAAAAAATATGTATAACGCGTGTAAGTATATAAAACCTGTTACAAAACGTAAATATAATAAATATAGTAAAATACACACATAAAAACTATGTATAATATATGTTTAGTACATGCCCAATCCTAAACATAATTTAACCATAACCTAAAAGGACTTTTCGACTCACAGTTTAGTCCGCTTTATTTGCTCACAAGTGATGTGTAAAAAAATTTAGGACATTTTGTATGTGGAAAAAAAAATTACATTATTACCACACTTTATTGGCATATTCATTTATATTATGCTCAATATTGTTCAATATAACACCAAATATAACATCAATAAAATGTGATACTAGGATACCAGTTAATTGATTAGACGTAACTTTATCTTTTATGTCCATGTTATATGTGACATGTGATATAATATTAAATATTGTTATTAATATTTAACAACAATATGTTTTTCAATGTGATATTGAGTATTTTTTTAATTTCTAAATGAAGACTGTTAAGTATATAGTATGTTACTTTGTAGCATAATTTATATATTTTTATATTACAATATAATTGATGTACTATCACAAACGATTTTTTGTAAATTACACTTGTTTTATTTATATTATAGGCTCCGCCACATAGTGTGTGTGTGGTTCAACATTTTATAACTACAAAAATATGTATTGTACTTATGGTACTTTCAGATGCCAATTATCGTTTTACAGTAGTAGATATTGGCGGTGAAGGAAGGCGAAGTGATGGCGGTATATTCCAACAAAGTAAACTTGGACATCAGTTGGAATATAACAGTTTCAATTTACCAAAAGCAAGGTCCGTTTCAGAAAAGAGTCTTAAATTACCATATGTAATAGTAGGTGATGAAGCTTTTGCATTGACGAACTATATGCTGCGTCCATATCCTCGAAAGAGTAATTTAAATGTACAAAAAAAATATTCAATTATCGCTTAAGTCGTGCTCGAAGAGTTGTCGAATGTACTTTCGGCATTTTAACTTCGAAGTGGAGAATTCTCAGAAAACCCATTGAAACAAATGTCAATACAGCTATTAGTATTGTTAAAGTAATTGTA